CAGTGTCTCTGTTTTTTGGTACTATTTAGGGAGCTACTGGGACAGGAGGAGGTGCTTTGCTGGGCTCACATCTCATGATCTGTGACTTCTTTCCTCAGAGAACCACAACTCTGTATTTATGGATGCTGGGTTTAAAGACATCAGAACCTACCGTTACTGGGATGCTGCCAAGAGGGGGTTGGACCTCCAGGGGCTGCTAGATGACATGGAGGTGAGTAAAACAGGGATGGGCTGAGCTTGGTCAGGGCAGTCAGCAGCTGGTTGAACACTGGAAGTGCATCGCTGCTGAAAAGACTGCTGGTGCCCAGAGCAGCTCACAGCCTCTCTCTGTGCCATGGGTGCTTTGGTGTGGTATTGCATATGACAGAGACCTGCTCTCTCCCCAGAAAGCCCCAGAGTTCTCCATTTTCATCCTCCATGCCTGTGCACACAACCCAACGGGTACAGACCCTACTCCAGACCAGTGGAAGCAGATTGCTGCTGTTATGAAGGTATGAGCTTCTGACTGGGCTGTATCAGTGTGGAGTGGACAAAAAGCTCTTGTGCCAGCTGAAGCACTGGCATCCAAATCAGGTTCCAGGGAATCGCGTGAGATGTGGCAGGAGCTAGAAGTGTCCCATAGGGCAGGTATTGAAGGGAGAGGCTACCAGGATATACTGATAGTCTGTGCTGTGAGAATAGAGGGCTCAGAAGATGGAAACATCCCAGTTCTGCTCATGCCTCCAAATTCTTACCCTCAGACTCAGTAGGAGAGGCTGCAGTGAGGGTTTTCTCTGCTAGAAAGATTCTCTGGGGACACCTGCTTTTCGCAGGTGCTTGATACTAGGATATAAGACAGTGCTTATCTTGTGCCCTGCTTCCTTTAGAATAGGAAGGAGAGAACTGATACAGTTTTCTTCTGCATTTAGCCTTTTCTTGACCACCTCAGTCTTCCTTTACCTCTAGTGAAAAGAAAAGACTGGTCTGATGTTCTTGGGCCATGTTTCCTGTATTCATCTAGAAGCTCAGTAGTCCTTTGCCCTCCAGTGGGGACAGTGGTGGGGGGTAAAGTGCAGGTTGTGGAAAAGGGATTTCCCTCTAACACTGTTCCTCCTTCCAGCGACGGTGCCTGTTTCCGTTCTTCGACTCGGCGTATCAAGGTTTTGCCTCTGGCAGCCTGGACAAGGATGCCTGGGCTGTGCGATACTTTGTCTCCGAGGGCTTTGAGCTCTTCTGTGCACAGTCGTTTTCCAAGAACTTTGGGCTCTACAGTGAGTGTCTGGTAGTAAGCTGGCCCGGAGGCATCATACCCAGACATATGGGGCTGGCATGCTTGGAGGAGGGTGGGCAGAGCCCTGCTTTGCAGCAATGTGTAGGACCAGTTACTCATTTCTCTTGGCTTGTCTACAGATGAACGTGTGGGGAACCTGACTGTGGTGGGGAAGGATGAAGACAATGTGCAGCGTGTGCTTTCCCAAATGGAGAAGATTGTGCGTACCACTTGGTCCAACCCTCCCTCCCAGGGAGCACGCATTGTGGCGACTACACTTACTTCCCCACAGCTCTTTGCTGAGTGGTAGGTGTCTTAGGACCAGTGGAGAGGGAAAGGAGAGATTTTCTCTGTGGGTGTTAGGCTCTAAACCAGGTAGGTGCCTACCCTCACTCTCTGCTTCTTGCTGCTGCAGGAAGGACAATGTGAAGACAATGGCAGATCGGGTCTTGCTGATGAGATCAGAGCTCCGGTCTCGCCTGGAGTCCCTTGGGACCCCGGGCACCTGGAACCACATCACAGATCAAATTGGCATGTTTAGCTTTACAGGATTGAACCGTAAGTACAAAGTGCTCTAGTGCTGCCTTAGGAAGGGAAGTGGGGATTGGGTGAAGAAGGTGGTGCTGAGGGTGAAATGGGCTGAAGTAGTCGAGGCAGGAATTTCTTGGGGGACCTGATATTGCTGCTGTTGTAGCGAGTCAGGGCTGAAGAATCAGCATTTTAGCGTCCAGTGCTGAAAGTCTTTTGCTTATTGTGGAAGATTCAAGCAGCTTAACCTGGTTCTTTGGGCTTTTCTAAGCTTTGGAATTACTGCTCTGACCTGATGTCTAATTGCTTCCCCAGCTAAGCAAGTGGAGTACATGATCAAAGAAAAACACATCTACCTGATGGCTAGTGGGCGCATCAACATGTGTGGTCTGACTACCAAGAACCTGGACTATGTGGCCAAGTCCATCCATGAAGCTGTCACAAAAATCCAATGAAGCACACGAACAACCAAACTTACATGAACTCACCAAAGTTGTAATGTGTAGTCCTGTCTTACTCATAGCCTGCCATGTCCACACCTCTTGGGGTTTAATAAAGATGGGAGCAGTAGCTCAATCAGGGATAGTCTTATTTTGACCTTTAATGAAGTACCCCTTGCAATATGATAAGCCCCAAGAGGTGGGGGCAGCATGAGCTGCCTTAGTTCTTGTTTGACAGCAGCCTGGTCTTCAGGCATTTAGAACTGCATCTTTAGCACATTCAAATCAACTCCTTACACTGATCTGTTTGATCTAGGCTAAGTCCTGTGCCAGTGCAATGCGTTATGGGTTAACAGCCCAAATAGTTGTTCTGAAACAAGTTGTCAACTGTTGTCACTTGGTAGTATTTTGTGTAGGGGCGAAGCTGTTGCTAGCTTTCCTCCACACGTTTCTGAGCCTGATGCGAGCAAACATTTGTAACTGTAATGATTCTTTAGTGTTGCTGACAGAAAATTAAATCTTCATCTCTGAATGCTATCCCTGCCTTGTGTGATGTCTTCCCTATGTGAGCACTGCCTGCCATGTTGGCAGCTTGCTGCTGGTGGAAGGGCACACACTGTGGAGCTGTACCACTTGGCACAGTAAGGTGAAGGTGACTCCTTTTCTCTGCACCCTGCTGCCTTCAGGCTATGCCAACCTCTTCCATGCTGAGGTTAAAGTGTTGGCATCTTGCTTTGCCCATTGGATTCACTCCATGTGATTCAAGAGGTTTCCCTTTCTCCCTTGCTGCATGTTGCATGTCTGATCACTGTCGCTATTAATTGAGCACAGTCCTATTGGAGTAGTGTAGTTTAGAGCTCCCTGTAATTCTGCGTGTGGCTGACCAGTTTTTCATGTCTGTCTTATTCCTGCTGATGTACTGTCTGCCCTATTCAGACTGTGCTTTCTTGCTAGATGTCCATGTGATACTCAGCTATCTGGCCTCTCTCCCTGGGCCTGAGTTCCTGGCCTATGGATAGTTCATGGTTTTTTTTTTTTTTTCTTTTTTTTTTTCCCCACAGAATGCTGGTGAACCACTACTTTCTTTAGCTTTAGTGGGTTCTGTCAGCAACAGCCTGGGCTTCTGGCACTGAAGAAGTGCTAGGACCATCTGCTGCTGCTCTGAGCAGTCAGGAGCTGATATTGCTACCTTGATACAACAGACTCCTGCCGAGGTCTTGATGAGGAAAGTGGATCAGCCTCATTTCTTTGGGTCAGTCAGTGATAGCCTTCAGGGATTTTGCTTATGCTACAGTTTAGAATGTAAAGGGGAAAACTGTGCCTTGCTCCTTCACTGTGTTTGCAGAGTGCATTCAGTCTCTGGTTTTGTCTGCAGTCTGTGAAATGAAGCAGATGCTTTGTGGCCTTCAGGAAACTTCCTCTGCTTCCCTCATCAGGCCAAGGGGATTCATGCATCTTCTTATGTCTCTGTCTTTCTCAGAGTGGTTATTCATATCACACAAATGTGAGTCTGAGGCAGTATTTTCTCTAAGTTGGAGCTTTTTCTCTTCTTGGTGCCTACCCACAGATGGGATGATGATGGTTAAAGGATGACTTCCAGGGCTGATCTCAAGGGAAAGTGTCTGTTATTTCTGACGTCTGGTTACGCTCCTCACGGACCTCCAGGCATGAAGCTGGACCTAGCACTCTGCTATGCTACCAGGCTTATTTTTCTAATGAGTGACCTAAATTTTTCTTTTCCTATCGTGTAAGCTCATTACCCATTATCTCACTTACCATGGCAACAGAGAACAGATTATTCCTTTTCTCTTTTCCAAGAGCTTTACGTGTACTTGCCAGCTTCCTCTTTCCCCTTCTTATCCTCCACCAGTTCAGATTCTGCAACCTCGTTTCCCTCAGCCTCTCTGGGCAGGTTGTTTTCCAGCCCTTGCTTTCCCCTGGCCTCCTGTCAATTGCCTTGTTTCCTTAGTGGGGCAGGCCCCTGGCAGGGATGCCGTTATTGCAGCTGAGGTTTTATCAGCACTGCTGGACCATGAGATTTTTTCCACTATCTCAAGCTTACTCCAGCATGTGTATTATTAACTCCTGTTCTCCCTCCCCAGCCCTTGTCTGCGTTGCTGTGGTCTAAACCCTTGCCCAGGAACCCATCCTCACACACAGCAGGATGAGCTGTCCCTGCACCCATCAACGCAAACAGGGCATCACTCAGGGAGAAATCACTTTTAATGTTGACATCCCTGTCGCGTTCAGCCTCTACAAAACTACGGACCGGTCGGTGCTGACCTGGAGGCTTGGCACAAGCCTGCCTCGCGCAGAGGATGGTCAATGCGGCGTGGAACAGCCGGTCATGGGGATGTGCTGTGCTCCCATGCCGGGCTGCGGCGATGTTGGTGTGCGCTGCGGCTGTGCATGGCACTGGGCACGGCACAGACGTGTACTGGGGCCCTGAGCTATGGGTGGCACCCCCCAAATAGCATTGTCTCCTTATGGTGGAGAGCACGTGTGTGCAGTGCCCAGCACAGGGGGGCTCCAGGCCTCGCAGGATGGGGATGCGCAATGATGCTGAGGGTGCTGTGGCTTGGGCTGCCCCTCCCTGTGCTGCCCGCAGGGAACACTTCTCCCCCTTTCCTTTCTCCACCTCTTCCTTGAGACCAGGTACTACCAGGGAGCAGCTGGGCCGGGGCCCTCGGGCTCCAGCAAGCTGCTTTGTGCCACTAGATGCTTCAGTCCCCGCAGTGTGTCCTTTGGCCTGGGGATGGAGCTCTGCAGTCCTGCAGGGAGGGGCGGCACGAGCAGACGGGCAGAGCGAGTGCAGACCTGCTGCTGCTGGACAAGGGCTTTGCGGTAGGAGACCACCATGCTGCAGACCTGGAAGACATGTGCAGCCCAGTGCAGGTGGCTGGAGAAAAAGAATGAGTAGGGGCCTCACTCTCTCTCTCTGCCCTCACCACCCTATGGGTGCCTGGGTTCTGTTGTCGCAGCCTTGGACCCTGCTGCAGCCCCTTTTACGCGTATGCCCGCACAGGGCTGCACATGCCTATTGCTGCTAAGCATAGGGTGGGTCTTTCTGCACCCTCTATCATTTGGTTTTGCTATTTGAACAGCACAAAACTTGATTTTGCAGTGTGAAAACCAACCACCTGCTTGCTTGCAGGAGCAAAGGGGAGGCTCCTACCTGGGGTCCACGTGGGCCTCCAGCACCGTGCTCTGGCCACGCTGCTGCTCAGGTGATCAGCGGGGGGAAGTTGGAACTCTCTTCTGGCATCTGCTCACCCTCTGGTGACTGCCGCTGCCTGCGCTCACCTGCAGCAGCAGCACAAGTGGCTGCTGGGCCTCGGGTGCTTGGGCTGGAGCAAGCCCTACATGCATTGGGCGTAAGGGTGCAGAGCACCTTGCTCAGTCACTCACTCAGTGATCTCAGCAGCCTCTTGCCCAAAGTCTCCTCGGAACTGCTGGGAGAGGAGCCGCTCCCGACCTCCCTTCCTGGGGACTCTGCCTCCAGCCCAGGGCCGCAGCACTCCCTGTCTGCAAGAGCCCAGCCTGCCTGCTGTGCCCTGGGGCAGCCCGAGCCCCCACTGCCCCTGAGCTCTGCCCCCAGCCAGACTCACCCTGCTGCTCACCACCATCCTGCTGCTCTGCCAGCTCCTCCTGGATGAAGGGGATGGCCTCCATGCGCAGGCACACAGAGTCACTGGGGCTGCGCTGACCCTCAGACCGGCTGTTCCTCTCGATCAGGAGGGTGGTGGTATCCTCTTTAGGTGTTTGTGGGGTGCCCCGAACTGTTGAAGCCTTTGTTGAGTCCCTGTCAAAGGCTTCCACATCGGGGGACTGGGGCGAGCTGTCCATGCGGCTGGCCACCAGCGCATTCTGGTACTGCTGCCGGGTCACCTGGCACACAGAGGGACATTCACACGGCTCTGCGGGCAGCAGGGTGCTCCAAGGGATGCAGAGGTGGTACAGCCCACCCAGCCATACCTTGACAAATTGGACATCACAAAGGATGTGCACGGAGTAGTCGGGAGTGTAGATGTTGTTGCTGCTGCTGTAGAGCTGCGTGGTGCTGCCCCCATAATCATTGTGCTCCCGGTTCGGGGACTCGGAGCGGTTGAGCCCGCTGCACCGCGAGGGGGACCGGTTCACTGGGGAGAGGTGGGAGGCAGAGAGAGGGGAGAGAAGAAGGGAGAGGACATCATGCATAGTCAGGTATCCTTATTGCACTGAGCGGCTGTGCCACATTGGCTCATCCATCCCTGGAAGAAGCACTTGGGGCAGGAGACCTCCACCCAGCTGTGGAGCAGCAGTGGCCACCCCACCTCCTGCCGTCCCCTTGTTATCCTGCCCCCCAGCACCCTCCTCCTGCTTTCCCTGTGCCACCCCATGCAGGGTGCAGTGCCCTTAGAGCCAAATGTGTCTGGGTGTCCCACAAAGCAAGCAGGGCAGCACACTGACCGATAGTGTGTGATATACAGCGTGATAGATTTTGTCTGGTCAGTGATTTATTAGGGAACAAAGGCAGCTTGCTCCTCACACAGGTGACATCAACATATCGCTGACTTTGCTCTGCTGCTAAAATGCCCTCCTGTTTTCAGTTCCCAGAAAGCAAGCTCAGCAGGGCAGCATGCATGTGGAGCTGTGGCTAACCGCGGTCAGCAGCAGCAAGCAGACAGGAAACATAAGCACCACATGCAGGAAATTAAATTTATGGGAAACGCAAAAAAAGCCCAATCCATTTAAAGCTCTTGTTTCTCCCCACTCTCTTCTTTATGATCTGAGGCAGGTGAGGCACCTGCAGGGCCTCCCGTGCCCCTGCCCAAAGCTGAGTGCCATTACCTGGAGAGCCAGCCAGGGAGTCCCCTCTGCTGAAGGCGAAGGTACGGGACACTGAGACAGGCACTGCAGGGAGAGGTGTGGGAGGGCAGGGAGGGGACATGTAAGAAGGAGCACATACCAAGAGGAAAAATAAAGATGTAATTATGCACCAGGCTGGGCCCCGAACTCCCTGCTCCTCCCCCAGTGACTCTTCTTTGTGTCATCCCTGGACAAAAATCTAATGCAAATAAACATCTGAGCACAGGCAGCAGTGCTGAGTATGACAGAGAAGCTTCATCCCGCTGGGAGCAAAAGTCCAAGTGATAGCAGTGGAGAAATGTGCCTGACCTCCTGCTTTGCCCTGCTCCGGGCTTCACACCTGCCCTGGTCACCAACACCAATAAGGGAGGGTTCAGTAAGGGAGTTGTATAACCGGGGTTAATTAATAACCAGTTGTAAAATACCCAAGAGTTGGCGTTTGCATCAGCACGTCATTTCTCCACTGAGCTCTGGAGCAGAGCTGGAGCTGCTCAGTGGGGAGCACACCCACTGCCCCTCCAGTGCCACGAGAGGTGCCCCTAAATACCTACGCAGGAAGGAGGATCCCGCCAGGCTGCCCACTTTCCGCACATCGTTATCTGCAATGACAACAAGGATGCATGAGCTGCACAGGAAGGGTGCTGTGTGCATCTCACCCTTGTCCCACAGTGAGCAGAAGCGAGGGCAGGGCTGGAGGGCCCACAGAGCCCTTACCCGAGGAGACGACAGCCATGATGGCAGGGACTCCATAGTAAGTGAATGCCCCGTTCTCAAAGCGCAGCCCTTCCTTGCCAACCTCCACCTCCACTTTTCCCTGGAAGGAGGAGGGAAACCCACTCAGAAAGGCCACCCTGTGCCACCCTGTGTCAACCCATGTCAACGCATGCCACCCCACACCGCTCTGCCTCACACCTGCAGGATGAGCACAAAGTAGTCGACGGGGCGGTTGCGCTGGTAGAGGTAATGCTCTGCTGCCTTCTTGTTCTTGCGGTCATACTTCAGCTCCTGGATGACATTGGGGTGCTTGAGGAGCCGCAGCAGGATTTTCTCGGAGAGGTATGGGGACTTGAAGGGCTCCACCTCTATGAGGAGGCAACACAGGAGGGGTGCTCAGTGGTGCTGGGGGACAATGTAGGGTGCTGGGAGCCCATCTGCCCACAGCACTTGCACCTCAGTGTACACTGACCCGAACTCAAGGGCATCACATCCCATTTCTCCCCCAGGCTAAGGGTACCTGTAGCCATGAAGCGATGTGTCGCCAGCAGGAGCTGCGGGGAGATCTTCACCTTCATCTCACTGTCTGACAGCCTGAAGATGGAGAAGTCCTGGGGCTTGCGGCCCCGGTGGGGCACGCGTTCCTTTTTCCGGTTGTCTGCTGTGGGCAGAGAGTGGAGGTTAACCACAGAGGCACACTGGCTCACATTGCGGTGGGGCTACAGAGGGGTGGACAAACCATGCTGGGCAGCACCTGGGAGGCAAAGCATGCTGCTGCCTTCGGATCAAGGCTGGGGCTGGTCTGCCTCCAGCACTAAATGTTCCTTAACATTGGGCCAACTTTCTCCATCATCCTTGTCTGGGGAAGGACGGCAGTTTGCTTTGCCCCTTTCCTACCCACACCTCTGCCTGTCTGTGGGCTCCCACCCTGGCTCCTGCAACCGCAGTAGCTGCTCCAGGACACTAACTGTACAGATCCGTCTCATCCAGGATCTCGGATTTGATGATCTCCTCAATGACATCCTCAAGGGTGACAATGCCCATCACCTCGTAGAACGGGTCTCCTTCCCCTTCGTTGTTCACCCGCTGCACGATGGCCAGGTGGGACTTCCCTGCAGGGGGAGAGCAGACAGTGAGATCTCCACCAGGCCAGAGGCATCCTGGCACCGTGGGTCAGTGGGACGGGTCTGGTGGGACAGGGACACGGCCACAGCCACACCTCAAAGCTGTCCCATTGCCTGAACCAGCTGCTCCCTCCACCAGCTGCACCCTGCTTATCATGGCCTCACTGGCATGAGAAAGCTCCAATGGAGGAAGGAGACAGCATCCTCCAACACAGAAATATGAGCGTGTCTTTGGGTTCTACTGGTGTCGTCCCCCCCAGTGTTTGCTCATTCTGTTGTTAATTATTTTTCCTACCAAATTGCCAGGATTAGCTCCCCCACTATCCATCACTGTCTGGACGATACTAATGCCTCTCCTAAAACACAGGCAAAGCCTCCAGCCTTTCACAGTGGCAACTGATTTTAATGCAGAAATACATATGTTTGTTTGCAGCTTTCAGCTCTTCTCCTGCAGAATTCTTGGGCGAACCATCTGGACATGGAGCTTGAACACTTTGCAAGCCATCAGCTTACATTAGAACATCTTCTCCAAACCCTGCCATGATGGCACCACATTACCTTAGATAGGCTGGGACCAGAGCTTTCCTTCAGCCGAAGTGACGGTGACCCCTGCACAGCAGTGCCCGTGGTTCCCAATCACAATGTGACCCCCAGTGAGCTGGTGGCCATGCTGACACACTCTCAGCTTTCTTGCTTTTTGGCACCCTTTGAGCATCACTATCTGTGTTCACATGTCCAGCTCTCTGTAAGCTGTTTTTACTTGCTCAGCTTCTCCTTTCCTTTACTGTCTGTTCTGGTCTCTGCTCCTCAGCAGCTCACCTAGAACCCAGCCTCCAACCTGTACAACCTTTGGGTTTCCCGCTCAGACCCACCAACAGCACTGCTCTGCTGACTTCCTGCAGCTCCTGAATGGGTTCTGAACCTCTTGTTTTGCTGAAAACTAAAAACATCCTTCATCAGCACCACATCCACCAGCTTCCTTCCTGCTTGTTCTCCATCTCCCTGGGGTCTCCCCTTACAGCCCCCTGTGCCTGCAGCATGCAAATCCTAACCCTACCACTGGAGGATCCTGAGGGAAGCTGAAAACACCCTTTTCTTCCCCCAGAACCCAGAGCTGATCTCCTCAAGCAGCAGTGGTTACCCACGATGGGACAGGGATGGGCAGTTCCCTCATGGGGAACAGGCGACCTTCCAATAACCCTGCCCTGGATCTGGGACAAGCAAATGATGTTTCTCAGACAGAGATCAGCTTTATACATTGCTCACATTAAAGTTTGGGCATTTTCCACAGGATAAATTCCCTCCTCCTCATACCAAGCTTTTATTGCAAGATTTCAGAGAGCAGCTCACCACCTCCCACGCCTACAGAATTAGAAACGAGAACATCGCACCACAGCAAGTAGCAATGTTTTTCTTCCCAGAAAGCTGGAGATGCACTTTAAAAACCCAAATCAATATCCTGGAGGTGCCGAACTTTCAGTGTGTTCCTTGGGCCAGGTTATTTCCCCCATTGTGCCACGGCAGTTCATGCACACTGTGTGTTCCGTGGGTAGTAAAGCAACATGGCTCGAGACTTGAAAAGCAAAAAGAAGCCGAGCTGGCTGCAGCACAGCAGCAACAGCTACGTTTCATCTCAGCAAAGTCCAACTTTTGAAAGCAGCTCCTTTGCCAAACCCCACTCCCAAGCGTTGGGGCCATCTGCTCTCCTACGAGCCCTCGGGTGAGTGCAGAGAGGGGAGAAGTTATTTCTTTTGGCCCAGAGCTCATTGTTAATGACATTTACATGCAACCCAAAACCACCAGGCCCTTACAAAAAGCTTAGGTGCTACTTAAAGGCAGTCAGAGAGTAATGGAGGCCATTCTTCTTTTGGCCAAGTACCTCCACCGATGCTGTAATTTACAGAGAAACGGGACTCCAGCCCCATGCTCACACAGCAGCTAATCAGATTGCTTAGAGAGAACCCGGCACCATTAGGCTGGAAGGGTCTGACCACACTGACGCAGAGCCAGGAGCACTGTCAGACCACTCAGGAGTTTCACAGAAAATAAACACTCAGAGCTGTGCTATAAACCCCCAGCTCTGCAGGCAGACACACAGGTGAGCAGCACAGCAGGTGCCCAGCAGTGGATTGGGCTCAGCCCCCACCCCCCACAGCTGCACCCAGCTTTTCCTTTGGGTCTGGTTTCCCAGCTGAGGGAGATGACCTCATTTTCAAAGTGCTGATCTTGGAACAGACCTTAAAATTTGGCAGCGAGGTGCCTTGCCTGTGGCTTGGGTGTGCAGTTACATGTGGGAGCTGCTGTGCTCACCCAGAGGATGGCTGGTGGGTATGGGAGCAGGTATGAGGGCTGGAGCTGGGCAAAGTGGAAGCTGTGTCTGAGGCAGGGTGATACAGGGACAGTGCAGGGGGTAGCAGCTCTTCTCCAGCATCATCCTGCAGGTTTGCTTCAGTGGGAGTGCAGTCAAGGGAGATCAATCGCTCAACAAGTTTGATCTAAAACAGCTTTAAGAGCTGTGAAGCTGATTCCAAGAGCTGCACTATTGTAACCACTGCTTGATGGCTCCAGTGGAATGAGTTATGAGGGCTAACAGCCCCGCCACTGCTGTCACGTGGACTTCATGGAGGTATCACTGATGCAGCAGTGAAGCACTTGAGAATCAAAGCTGGTTTGGCAAATGCTAGAGCAAATGAACAGCTAACTTCATGTGTGCAAAGGGCTGCTCTGTACAGGAAGCCCGTAGGTGACTGAGTGCCTGCTCAGTGTGGATGCAACTGTAGTGAATTCTCTATGAGCTATGCAAAAGCTGCTCTTTTCAGTCAACAGCTGTGCTGAGAAGTTCATGCCTTAACAGTGCTGAATTACACAGCTAAAGCTTCTAGAAGGAGCTGATACCTGAATAGAAATCTGAAGCTTTGTGCCCAGTTTTAGGAGCCTTGATTTCTGGTGGTAATGGATCCACTCCAAAGTGTCCTTCCTAATGGGAGAACATAGTCTGAGCACATGGAAATGCCTTTGCTTGCAGGAAAGAAAATGCTGTTGGCTGTAAATATAGCCCAGGATCCTTCCTTATTGTTTTTTATGTAGATGCTCTGCCCAGAGTAATGCTGAAGATGCCTTAGCATAGTCTCTTGTTTCATGAGATGAGCACTAAGCAGGTAATTTACTTTTGTGCATCAGGGTGATGTGTGGGCACCCGGATCTGTGAGGAGTCAGGGCTGTGAAAAGGGGAGAACCACACAACCTTACCTAGCCCAGGCCTTCCTTGGGGATGGGAACTCCATCTACATCCTTCTGTTTCTACTGGAGCACAAAAGTCTCTTGTACTCTGCTCTGGTGCTTTTCCTAATCTTAGGGAGAACTTGGGGAAAGACGAGGGCATGAGCTTTTTGGAGCAGCTGATGTATTATGGTTGGCAAAACAGATGGAGAAGAGCAAGAGGGAGACCAGAGCAGACACAATCTCATCTTCTATCAGCTGTATGTTGGCCTGCTGGGTATGCTGCTCCCTGCCCACAAATGTTAAACTCAGAACAAATATTTCCAAAGGGGCAATGCAGAATGTTTTTTAGAGGTGTCCTTGTTGTAGGCCACTTTTATTCCTACCCATGAGGCCAGGAGGGAGGTGGCAGCTGGGTGCCCATCCCCCCCTCCCCAACCCTGAAGGTCCCAGCTCAGCGCTGGGGCAGGGAGCAGCACAGCACTCACACAGTGAGGCTCAGAGCAGCGTTTTTGGGGGAAATGAGAGTTGCAGGCGGAGCTGCAGCATGATTCACCACCAGCAGCTTTTGTGTAGCAGCACCTCACCCACTTGCAGCCTGGCAGCTCAGGGTTCCTGTAGGCTCCGTGCTCACACAGCTGGAATATGGGCACTGCCCCACCAGGATGCCCAATAACTGTGGGTTCAGGAGGAGGGCTGCAAGAAAACAGCAGCACTGATCCCAGCTCCTGGCACGCATAAGCACCTTTCTCAGCTCTTTTCGATTTGCAGACATCTAATAGAGGCTGTGGAGTATTTATAAAAGCAAAGACAGACCCTGGGGCAGAACTGTTCCCTGCTCAGCAGGAAGCTCACTGCTGGAGGATTTACTTTTAGCAGCTTTTAAAAGGCACCAAACCATCAGAGAATAATTGGAGCTGCACCTCAGCCTCCGGCCTGTGGAGAGATGATGATGGCATGAGCAAATTTCCACTGCTCCTATGCTAGAGGAAGGTGACCTGCTGAAAGGTGCCACTTCTGCACATAGAACTCCCCCTAGGAAATGTGCCAGCAAAATCCATAAATGACTTTTAATAGAGAGAGACTGTGACTTCCCCAAAGCCACCTACAGAGCAGGGAGGTGCAGCTGGAGGAAGGGCTCCCCGTGGCTGCAGGGCTGCAGGTATTGCTGTGGCTGCCTGCTGGGGATGGGGGGAGCAGGTTGTGCTGATATGGCATTGCATGCTGCCTGTACACATACAGCTCTCCTCCTGGCTCTGTTCTCCCGAGGGCAGGTTTCTCTTAGTGCAACTTCATCTGCCCCCCTGCATTGTTTTGCTCTGCTAAACTTGGTGCAGTAACCTGCAGCTGATGGTCTGCACAGGTAGGATCGCACAGTGAGGGAGAAGGAACGCACTGGGTAAACAGGGATAACGCAGTGTGAGAGCAGCAAGCCAGAGGGGAGAGAAAAAGGACAGAGCTGAGGGAGGTGTGAGAGAGAGTTGCAAAGCACTGCGTTTAATCATACACTGACATTTTCAGTAGGAACAAATGTTTGTGTACTATGGCAAGGAGTTCAGGCAGGGAAACAGCGCTGCTTTTGCATTATGCAAAAACTGACATTATAGATGTAGGGAATGTGGCAGAACATTAATCACTGCTGAAACACAGATCTGGAAGTAAATATTGCTATCCAGGAAGGGAAGATTGAAAACCTGGTGGGTATAAGCATGGTAATAACCGAAAGAAACCAGGGATAGAGTAACTGTTAATCATGGGAGAAGGGAAAGACAGTTAGGAAGGAGAGGTTGCTGTAGAAGTTTGTTGTGGATGGAAGTGCTTCTCGTTAGTTGGGACTTTGATTTTCTAGAAAGAGGCTGGATCCTAACAGCAGGAGCAGCTGCTGTCCTGCAGGCACCTGGGATGTGTGAAGTGCTGAATGCCCTCATTAGCTGCTCACTGAGCCAACCAGCCCGCTTGCTAATTAGCAGAGGTGTCACAGAAGACCTGGAAGTAGAAAGCAACTTTGACTGGATCCAACAAGATACTTTGCCATAATTCAAATGGACACAGAAAATGAGACAGTGATGAAGTTTCTTAATAACAAATGGGAAATCTTTATTTTAGAAAGTAAGTAGTCGAGTGAACTGGGTTGGAGGCAGCTGGGAGTCAACATATGCAGCAGTGCAGGAGCTGGAGCCTTTGAAACTGAGAGAAGAGTTAGGAGGGACTCAAGTCCGGGCTGGGGGCAACCATCTACAGACATGAGGTATTGGGGGTGAATGAAGGGCTGAAAATAGGGGAAAGATGCATTAGAAGAGACCAGCAACACCAGGGGATAAGAACATGGTGGGGGGGAAGAGCTGGAACTACTACACACCGAGCTGGGTTAGATTGTAAGACCAAAAGCAGGAGTTCTCAGCCACGTGGTTAGAAAACACAAGGAGAAATGATGGAGGAGTAGAGAGAAGACTGAGGGACAGCTCTACAAAGGAGCTGCAGCAAAATGCCCCAGAAGACCATGACGGCAAACAGATGTGGGGAAGGAAGAGCCTGAATCAAAATGCCAGGAGTTTAATGAAGCAAAGCAGCAGAAGGTAAAGAGCCTTCACTAGAGATGGGGGACAAGTGTGGGGAGAGCTGATGGCAAGGTGTGTGAGTGCACTTGTCACTTGAGGGAGTGACACACAGAAAACACCTTCAAGGTGGAGGGTCAAGGAAAGGGCAGGGAGCTAAGCAACCACAGGTCCATTCCTATGGGTCTATTGATCCAAGGGGTACCAGGCTGTCGAACAAGTCTGGAAAGAGAAGTAGCTGAATGCGTCAAAGTAAATCAGATAAAGTGCAGGGAGGTTGAGGTGCCGAAGTCATCCGACATCCCAGGGAACAGCTGACTCTGAGCAAGGCAGGGGTGGGGAGATCTCAAGTGAACTTTGTAACATATATGCAGGAAACCAAAGTGTAGAAAGAATTGTAAGGCATACGGTGCTTGGTGCTGTACAGAGCTCGTCATCCTGTGTCCCCTGGAGGTGGTGGGGATGCAGAGATGACCTGCATGTCCCCATGTGCCCTCCTGGTATGCAGAAAACTGGTCTGCTGCTGCCCCCCCAGCTCTGAGAACCAGCAGGGGATGACTCAGAGGCTTTCTCCGTGTGGCGTGGAGCAGATTGGCCCTTCTCACATGATCAGCTCTGCTTGTGGCAGAGCAGCCGCAGGCAGCTGGGAGCTGTGTTACATAACGCAGGCTGGCACTGCTGCAGCCATTTCTTAAAGGTTCGCTCGTCGCGGTGTGACGTACTGAGCAACACACAGCAAAACGCTCATGGTTCCCAGCGGGGGAAAAACCGCATGCTGTGTGTATTCTCAAGGTAGAGTTAATGAAACACAGCACAGCCTCGCTGGGGCTGCTGGCAGCTGCATTATGAATACTGCCACAGCTGAATAGAAAGCAGAGCTCTTTCTAGGGGTTTAGGCTGGTTTTCTTCCTTTAAACCACATGCTTAGAACCACTCTCTAGATCTGCTTCTCCCTGCTAAGCTGAAAACATGAGAACTGAGTAATAAGATGTCATCTGCCCTACATTCCCCTGTGCAGAATAGAGTGATGAACAGAGGGGTGGGCAAGCACCAAGCCATTCTGCACCACCCTGAGACCCTGCAGCATGTCTCATCCAGTGCACAGCAGCCTCCAGTGCCAAAGGTTCTCATGACCTCGATAGTACCATAGGCATGGCCACACTGCAGGCCTCAGTCCCCCCAGCGGACTCCAAGTACATGCAGGGCCCGACTCCCCCCAGTACCTGTGGTACCTGCTGGGTCCTGTTGGAGGGTGACACTGGGTGGGCTGAGCGGGGACTGGAGGGGATACAGGGGGAGCCCAGGGATGGCGGCCCTGCAGCCTCACCCTTCTTGAACTCCTCGAGCAGCGTGTCGAGGCGCGTGTCATTGAAGACGCAGTGGAGCGGGCGGCGGTAGAAGCGGGTGACGGTCTGCAGCGGGGTGCAGTCATCGGGGTCAACAAAGGCCAGGTCCTTGACAAAGAGCAGGTCGACGATGTTGTCACGCCGGTCACCCTCGTAGACGGGGATGCGTGTATAGCCGGAGCGAAGGATCTCAGAGACGGTGGCGAAATCCAGCACGGCGTCGGCGCGCAGCATGAAGCAGTCGGCCAGCGGCGTCAGCACGTCCTCCACCACTTTGGTGCGCAGCTCCAGCGCTCCCTGCACCATGGCCAACTCCTCCCGCACCAGGTCGCCGTGGGGCCCGGCGGCGCGCAGCGTCTCCAGCAGCCGCTCCCGCGTGGAGAAAACGCTGAGCTCCTGCCGGAGCGCCCAGTCCAGCAGCCGGCTGAGCGGGTAGCACAGCGGGAAAGCGGCCAGCATCAGCAGCCGGGTGAGGCACAGCGTGCGCGACGCGATGGCCAGCCCGTGCCGCGAGCACACCGAGTAGGGCAGCACCTCGCCGCCCAGGAAAACGGCGGCCGCGCACAGCAGCACCGGCAGCCACGGCGCTCCACGCGGCCCTCCGCCAGCCGCCGGCCCTCCGCCGGGCAACGACGCGCACAGCCAGCCGGCCAGCGCCGCGTTGGCCCCCGCCTGGCCCAGCAGCAGCGTGCACAGCAGGTAGGTGCCTCCGCCGCCGCGCACCGCCTGCACCCGCCGCGCCTGCTCCCGCTCGGCGGCCGAGCCGCTGTTGCGCAGGACGCGGAGCTCCAGCGGGTCCAGCGAGAGCAGCGAGAGGCGCAGCCCGCTGAACAGCGCCGACAGCCCCAGCAGCAGCAGCGCGCCCAGCGCCCGCAGCCAGCCCGCCTCGGGCAGCGGCAGTAGCCAGGCGCCCAGCGCGGGGGAGGCCGGCCGCACCCGCAGCAGGAAGCCGCCCGCCGCGCCGTGATGCGCCCACGCCCGTCCGTCCCACGCGCACAGCGAGAAGAGCCGCCCGCCCGGCGCCGCCGCCGCTTCGCCCTTGCGCGGCTCCCGCACCCGCACCTCGGCCAGCGCCGAGCCCGCCGCGCCGCCCGAGCGCAGCGGCCCCACCACCTCCACGTCCGAGGCCCAGGCGCTGCGCTCCCGGCACCGCTCCGCCGGGCCCCGCGCCGCTTTCCCCCCTCCCGCCGCCGCCGCCGCCTCCTCGATGAAGACCAAGCGCGGCTCCCTCTCGCCCGCCGGCCCGCGGCTGCCGTTGCCCTCGGGCTGCGGCTGGAAGTAGAGGCGCAGCAGGAAGCGGCTGCCCTCGGCCGCCTGCACCGCGCCGCCCTCCAGGGACACCCGGCCCGGCGCCGTGTCTTCGGGCCGCAGCCCCAGCAGCCAGGCGGCCCCGGCCGGCGGCCGCGGGGACAGCGAGAAGAAGAGCAGCAGCACCGCGCCCCGGCTCCGGCCCCAGCCGCCGCTGCCGCCGCGCCCCGGGCCCGCCGCCGCCATGCCGGCACCGCAGCGCCCGCACCGCACCGGGACTGCAGCGGGGGAGCCGGCGCGGCGCGGCGCGGAGCGGAGCGGAGCGGCGGCACACGTGGGCCGGGGGGCGGGCAGCCGCCGCGCCACGTGCGGTCGGAGCCGGCCCGAGGGAGGGGCGGGGGCAGCGCTGCCGGGAGAACGCGCGTGGGGAGCGGTGGGGTGCGGGGTTCGGCAGTGGGGTGCCACGGAAACGTCCGTCCCCGCTTCCATCCGTTTAGCGTTCCCTGGCTAAGGAACGAACGGAGCGCCCTGTAATGAAGGTTTATTTTCATTTCTGTATTGCTGTGGCTAGAGCTGGTGGAGAGTGTGACGCGCAAGGAGATCTGACAGCTTCAGAAGTGGGTGCTGAAGGAGTTGCCCATCTGGGAAGCGTTAACTCTTGCTAGCAGGTAATCTCGTCTTGAAACTGTTGGGTCTTCCCTGGACTGACATCCAGAACAGTCTTGAAACAGAGAAAAAAGTCACCGCTGACATCTGTGATGGGCTCACTAACGCCAAAGCAGGATGCCTGCCGGAAAACATCATAGAGTCCCCCCAAATTCTCTGTGGTTGCAGGGAGGGCACACAGATGCACAGTACGCCGAGGCATTCCTGCGTCCTTTTCCATCCTTCTCCAAGTCTGTTGGGGAAGCTGGAGCCACCTGCAATAGCCACTGCCCATTGCCCGTGTTCCCAGCAGAGCAGAGCCGTGTGACACTAACGGGTCAGTGCCAGGAGTCCCACGAGCACTGTGCTTTTGTCTCTGGTAGATGCTCTTCCTCATCTCCAGAAGAGGCAGCTATTCTGTTCTGTTCTGTTCTGTTCTGTTCTGTTCTACTCTACTCTACTCTACCCTACTCTACTCCTATTCTATTCTATTCTATTCTATTCTATTCTATTCTATTCTATTCTATTCTATTCTATTCTATTCTATTTATTTTTTCCCCGAAGTTGATGGGTTCCCCAGGATTCCAGTGGCTGTGTGCTCGCTCCTTCTGTTAAGCAGGTACCCGCAGCACGTTCCTTCCCTCAGTCTCCTGGTCCCCCGCACTCCCCGGCCGCTGATCCCGGCTTGTGCTCAGGCCGCGGCGTGCGGGAGGAACCACCAGGTGGCAACCTCTCTCCGTGCTGCTGCTGCGGGCTTTGGTGGCTTTTCCACCCTTCGTTCAGAAGCAGGAGCAGACGCAGCTTGCTAGCTTGCTGCCTACCAGCACCGCTCAGTGCACGCTGGCAGAGCCGCCCCATGCATTGGAGGGGGAGCTTCCCCTTTGCTGGAGGCACAGCATTGTTGACCTCATCAGGATCACGGCTCGTGCACTGATATGGAACGAAGTAACCAGAGTGCTGGGACCCGGCAGTGAGCTGCAGGGCTGTGTGTGACAAAGAGAGCAACCTGAAGACAGGGGACTGCGAAGCCTCAGTGACAATAGCTTTGGAAGAATACGTGGTCAGAGGGTGTAAATATGCAGAGGAGAAGGAATGCTCAGTTTGGGATGAGCTGCCCTGGTTCTGCAGCCATCTGTTGCGCTGAGCTCCATCTAGCTCAGGCCATAGCTGTGCTCTCACCAGATGTTAGCTTACATGAGCTGCGTGTAAGAGTGAACTGGTGCGAGAGCTGTGGCCCGATGTGCTTTCAGTAGGGTCTGACCTGCAGCAGTGACGACGTGCTAGCTGGCCTCTCGCTGCGGGGATGCGCTCCAGAAGTCGCAGGTGTGTGGCTGGAGCTTGGTCAGTGAGTCAGGATAGGAAATATCTTCCAAAGCTCCAAATAAGACAAAACAAACTGAGCTTTAGCACATGCTCAACTGATTGAGCCTTTGGCAAAGTATGACATGAATTTCCAGTGCGCTCACTGAGGCTGCATCTTGCCTGCTGCGTCCTTCGGCGCCAGTCCTCCAGAACAGGGTGAGGAGCTGCCGTGGGATGGCCGTGGGGATGGAATCGTTAGCAATTCCAGATCATGATGGGAAACAGAAGGAGTGAAGAAAAGCCGGATTGATCTATTTATTTATTTATTTTCCTCCAGAAAGTGGGAATAAAGCTACGAGCGCAGAGCTGGCTGCTCATGGAATATCTGCAGCGTGATTGGCACTAATGCTCTGCAGCCAGTGGGAGAAGATACGTTACCCAAGTAAGTGAAACGAGCACTGAGATGTGGGTTATACGATAACTTCTGAAGCAGAAGGAATAAGACCTCAGGCAACAGAGCTCCAAACAGCGCGCTTTCTTTTTTCCATTTCTGAGCCCGTGGTGTTCAATTAACCCCTTTTCTCTGTGCTACGTTCTCTATTCCACAGGCTTGCAGAGCTTTACCCACCCTTTTGGCTGATGACATGTTAAACGCTTGGTTTGCAATCATCAATTTTCTCCTGAACTGATACCCAAAGTTCTGCTGTTTTGATTTAAAGTGATTTCGAGTCTTTTAGTTAACAGTTAAGGACGGTCCTGTCCAAGAGAATCTAACTTGAGGAAGCCATGAAATTTAATTCATTTCTGCAACTTAAATATATAATCAGTGACATATGGGAATACTAAATACGGGGGGAAATGTCATTGCTTAAGTAAAATTTCTGCGTTCAGTCAAAATCCAGCAGTTGTAACATCAAACTGTAGTTTCCACTGTACAGGAAATAAAGCATCATTTTTTCAAGGAAAATAGACATGCAATTGCATGCCTGTTATGTTGCTTATATAGCTTCATGCTTAATTTTCTCCACGTTGCTGTTAGTAAAGAGCCAACAGAAGGGAAACTGAAGGGAGAAGGAACAACACGACACACCGAGCCTGCTGGAAAGTGCACAGGAGATGGCTGTGCTGGGAACACAGGCTCTTTCCCTGCTGTTGTCTCCGTGCCTGGGCCAGGGGCACCGTGCTCCATGGGACCTTCTCCAGAGGGAGCTTTGCAGCTTATGGTTACATGAAAGATTCTGATTTTTTTCCTCCTCCCTCACCCCAGCAGTGTCTCCAAGAGCCTTTTGGCTGCTGCTTCTTCCGCTGAGCTCCAGCTCCTCATTGGTCTCCGCACACAGCCCCTTCCTCTCTTTCTGTAATTGCCTTGTTTGCTCCTCCAGCCTTGCACTTCATCCATCTTCCTATTTCCCCTCTCTGATCTACTCCTCATGGCCGCTTCCTTCAGTTTTGCTGCTGGAATGTGAAGCATCTCTCCAGAAAAATAGAAGGTCTCTGTGAACTTTTACCACCCCCCTGTATTCCCTCTCCTTCACCTCTATCATCTCCTCGCAGATGGTGGGACAAGCGTTCACATTCGTTCTCAGGCTTGTAACATTGGCGCGTTCCCTTCTCTTGCTTTTTTCACATGATGATGTGAAATGAGGATAATTCTGCCCGTTTCTCTGCTCCTCAGGGCTGGACTCCATTTGAGGAAAGTGCTTTTGAGGCTGCTGTGATGCTTGGAACGCTGCTGTTGTGTTTGTCCCCTGACTACGGCTAATTGCGGCCACATTTGCTTCTGCTCAAGGTAGGAAAGACAAAAGCTGAATCAGATGCAGCCATCGATTAGCACAGCTCTCGGGTCTGAAGGGCATCCTCTGCCTAAAGGCAGCGTTATACATCGAGATATTCCCTGCCATTATCTGTTTTTTTTCCTTTTCCTTCTTGCTGAAGAGGCGCTGGGCAAAGGGGGTTTCTGTCTGCTGGGAGGGCACCTGCCTCCCCAGTGCAGCCTTGTGGGAATCGCCCATCTCAGCTTTCAGGAGCCCTGAAGCACCTGCTTGGAGGTGGGCACCTGGCAGCAACTTGTTCTCTCCAGGGGCAGCCATGCAGAGTGTGGGCCCCCGGGTTGGCCAGACCATGCACTCAATCAGATGGATGAAGGGAAGGAAGAAGAGTTTATTCTGCTGGAGCAGTGGTACCAAGCTGCTCATGGCATAAAGTTACACAAAGAAAAAGAATACGTAATTTATCATCAACTGCCTAAAATCCAGCTTTCTTTCTTCTGTGTCTTGTTGTGTGTCTGCCTGCAAACCCACAGCCTTCATGGGACTGGTGCCTCCTTTTTTTCCCGTCCTTCTTTTTTATAGCTCTCTTAGTTAGGCAGCTAACGAGGGTGGGTTAACCCTTGAAGGAAAGCCCAACACCACCGTGCTATGGCCACACTTGGAGGTACCACTCTGTGCTCCTTCCACGTTGGTGATAACGCAGACACAGCATTGCCAGATGTGCTGTCCGGCCAGGCAGTCGTGGTGATGGATGCCCTGATCCTTTCATGCAGGAAAGGGGAAGCTCTCCGTGGGTTTGCCTTCCGCATGCTGGTGCGGGGCTCCCCTCCAGCCAGGCTTCCTAGGGCAGACAGATGGTTTTGCTTGTTACAGAGCTTCACAGGACACCTCCATTAAAGAGCAATGCGCGGATACCGCATTAAATCAAGCTGCTGTCTGTTCGGTCAGGTGATACGTCGGCATGGTGGGAAATGGTTTCAGCAGCGGGGTTCACGCTGTGCAACACCAACCTTTAGGCACTGGTAACCTCAGGAGGTTGCATTCCAGACATTAGGTCTCTTGCGGTGAAATAGATGGACGCTGCAGTGCAGAAGAAGCAAAAAAAAAAACAACTCAATAAAAAGAACTGGCTGAGCTGTTATGGGGTCTGATGGCTGCTTTTAGTGTCCTTGCTCCTCTCAGAAATCATTTGGGGAGAACAGAAATCATTTGGGAAGAACTCATATGTCAGGCCGTGGTGCAGGGCAGGCGTTTAAGAGTCTGAAAAGAAAAGCTTTTGGGCAAATTGTCTACGGATAACATTCTTTATTTTCACTAGCTGAGTTTTTTCCTTGATAGCTTCTTTGAGAGCATCCATAACTCAGGTTTACTTGACAGCAATACAGAAACAGACATGGTTGATATCTTGGGAATCAAAGACATGACGATTTTTGTTTTTTAAAAAGGCTGTCTAGCTTGTTTTATCCTTTCTAGCCTAATGGAGGTTTGTTTGGTACAGCACATCCTCTGGCCATAATAACTTTCATCCTTTATGAGCAGACGTTTATTTTCTAGGGAACGCAAAACGTCCCTCCTGAGGAGGTTTTCCCTATTTTCCTTTGGGCTGACATATACAGCTGGAGACCTCCATTTAATTCATCTTCTAGACTTAATTTATCTCCTCATTCTTTATTCCTTCCCTCAATCAGCCCTGCCGCATAGAGGTGGAAACCTTCCACAGCCACTCGGATCGTTTACAACAGTCACTTCCACAGGCAGTAGCGAGGCAAAAATCGAAGTGAGTACCTCTGATAACGACGTTAGCTGCGGATTTCAGTGTTTGTGAGCTGCAACTGACTGGGGGGGTGCCAGACATTTGCAGACACACACAACAAGACAGGCCCCTGCTCTGATCGGCTTGTAAATTAAAGGAAAGTACATTGGCAGGAGCAGAAGGGATGATACGACATGCTTTAAATAGTTTATTGGGAGCTGGAGGATTGCTGTTTATTTGGTGACGTTGGGAAAATATTTAATGTGCTTAAACTTAAACTCTTTATAGCAGTGCTTCTCCTCCCCCGGTTTTCTTTCCCAATGACTGTTTTGGAGATTAAAATCAGCAAGTTGAGAGTAGACGGAAAATAAAGAAATGTACTTCCAGATCGACAGTTTTGAGCGAGCCAGGCTTTCGAAAGCAATTATGGTAACAGAAGAAAGGAGCGGCGCTTCGCACGGCGGGGCCAGAGCCGCTGCTGTAAGCTGAGCTCCGAGCGCCGCTGCGCTCCGGGAGAGACACCGGCGTTGGGGCCGCCCCGTCGGACGGCTCCGCCCGTGCCCCGACGGCAGCGGCGGCCCCGACGGGAGCGCTGCCCGAGTCCTGCGGCCGCGGGTGGGCTGATCCCAGCGCCGGAGTCCGCCTTCAGAGCGGGGACGGGTTGCGAGGGGTGTTTCGTGCTAAGCACGTTTCTCCTTCGAAGTACCGTGTTTGTAACGGAGAAAGTTAAGCGGGGTAATTTGTTTTCTTTCTTGTCCTTCACTACGTAACACATCAGAGTTTCGTTTTGAAATAGAAGTGGGGGGAGAGATACTAACTTTCGGCCTGCAGTCACAGCGCTTATCGGCCAACAAATGCCAGTGAAGCTCTGCTATCTTTTGATCACACAGAAAACAAATAAGCAACAATAAAAAAAGACCAACAAAAATAAATTCCGCAAAGCAAAATGATCATAATAAATCCGAACAAACAAAGGAGACAATATGGGAACTCGTGTCCCTCGTTCGGAGATGACCCACAAACCAAACTACTGCAGCTCTGGGGCCAGCGAATTGCTATTGCAAACAGCGGCTGAAGCGTTCTCAGCCGAACACAACTTTCCAACCTTAAATTGCCTTCTTCCTGTCCCGGGATGCCAGGGCTTTGCACAGATGAAATTGCACGACCCTTTCCCCCGGATCCTCTTACTTCCACAGCGCTCCATCCCCACTGCCTGCCGCCGGGTGCTGCGACGCGATCCCCGCTCCCCGGCCGTGTCCCCCCAAATTCCATTTCGCACACCTCCCGCCGAGCCCTCGCAGAGGCAGGGGTTGCCTCATCCTTCCGCCGGTGCATCGTTCCCCACCGCCCGCTCGGCTCGGGTCGGCTCTTCCGTGCGGCACACCGGGCCCAGGCGTCCCTCGGTGTTGTTTCCTCGCCTCTCTTCTCCTCGCAGTCCCGGCCGCCCCCGGCCCCGGACTGCGCTGCCCGCAGGTGGGTGCCGTTCCCTCGCCGCTGGGGCCGGGTCCGTGACCAGCAGATGGAGCTGCGGGCCCCGGCCCCGAGGTTGCGGGCGCCGACGGCAGCGGGCCCGGCGGGCGCGGCACGACTCAGCCCGGGCGCGGCCCCGTTCTGTCGCCGGGCGAATGGTGCCTGGGCGGAGCGCGGCCGCGGCGGAGGGCCCAGGTAGGGCGCGTTACGGTGCTCGCCGGCGTGCGGAGCCCGGGGCTGACCCAGGAAGCAGCCTCCGGCGGGCCGGGATGCCCGCTTGGGACGGGCGCTCGCCGAGGTGTGAGCCCCCACGGACCCCCTGCTCGATGTCACCAACGGCCGCTCGCCGGCGGCTCCTGTCTGGCGATCCCGGTCCTCCAGGCAGCGGCACCGGCTCTCTGACACCGAACCGCGGCGTTTTTTGCGCCACCGATGCGGCCGTTTCCGCGCCGGACGCGTCCTCCGTGACCCCTCGCCACGCTCCGCCGCGGGTCGAGTACCGGCGGGTCCCGAGGGGGCGGAGGAGAGCAGCTGCCGTCCCAACCCCCGCGGGCCGCTTCCCCGCTGTATCCGAGCTTCCCCCGTCCGCCGGCCGGGCCGATCCCGGGTTCCGGCGCGAGGACTCCGCGCTCCCGCTGCGTCCGTCGCGTTCCGCGCTCAGCCTCGGTTCCCGCAGCCCAGCACCGCCACCCGAAGCGGGCCACCTCTCCGCCTTACCGCTTCTCGCTACCGAGCTCCCCGGGGTCCCGGGCTCCGATCCGGTTCGGTCCCTCCGGGTGCCGAGGCGAAGCGAAGCTCGGAGCCGGCGGGTCTCGGGAGGGCCCCGAGCCGAGGGGGTTAAACCGGGAGCTTCCCCTTACCTTCAAAAAGTTAAAAATGTCTGGAGCCTGCATCTCTTAAAGGGGCGGTGCTGGCTGCAAGGAGTCTTGGCACCGGCTGCGAGAAAGGCTGGTCAGGGGCGTGAGTTCCCCTCCACCAGCACCAAAACATTGCAAAAAAAGGCAGAGCGCCCCACACTTTAGATAAGGACAATTAGCCACCAGCGAGCCCCTGCAGACAGCGAGTTAATTAGGGGTTTCCTGCTCTCCGGCATGCCCTGTCCCAGCTCCTGCCCCCCCGGGCTCCTAGCGCTGATGGCACCTGGGCTGGCCCTCATGGCCACCTTCTCGCTGCCCTCCCAGGCCGGGGACAGGAGAGCGCTGCCGGTGGAGAAATCTCCAGGTGTGAAGGGAAGGACTCTCATTCTCCTTGATGTCAACACCAAGAGCCCTGTCAGGATAATCAGTGAGAATTTCCTCTCCCTGCAGCTGGACCCCTCCATCATTCATGATGGCTGGCTCGATTTCTTAAGGTAAGGCGGGAGCCCCCCCCGGCGCCCTCCCCGTGCCGCCCACCCCGCCGGGCTCCGCGCTGCCCGCGGCGCTCGTTGAGGTGGAGGGAGCGAGGCCATGGTTTCCATTAAGATGCACATGTTTGCAATGGAGAAAGCATTTCGGAGACTTATCAGTTATGACTGCAAAAATGTCGTGCTCCCCTCCGCTCCAACAACAACAACAACAAAAAGAAGGAAAAAAAAAAAAAAAAGGAGGGGANAAAAAGAAGCACAACATGGGGCTGAGGCAGCGCAGGGAGAAAAAAACCCTGCACCGGGAACCCGCAGCAACGGGTGTCGGCCAGCTGCTCCCCGAGTTCCCCGCGCTCCCCGGGCTCCCGGAGGGCAGAGCCGGGCTGCGCGTCGCGTTCGGTGCCGAGCTCAGCGGCCTGGAGACACCGGGCCGGCCGGAGAGCACCAGTCCTGCTGGGTAAGTCGAGAAGGAAGAGCGGGTCCTCGCTCCGAGGGTCCCGGTCGGTGCCGCCTCCGTCCCCAGGGAGCCGGGAGCCGGTGCCTCCGCCGCACTTGTCCGGGGGGTTCCGGGAGGGCAGAGCCGGGGTCCGCCGGCCTCCGGCCCCCGCTGCCAGCGGGCGGGGCGGCCCCGTTCCCGCTGCCGAGGTTGAACCGCAGAGCCCCGCAGCCGGGCGCTGCTGAGCGGTGCCCGCGCCGCACCGCGCTGTGCTATGCGATCCCGAACCGCGCCGTGCCGGGCGGGGCGGCCGGGCCGCGGTGAGAGCTCCGGATCCCCGCACCGCGCTCCCTTCTCCCGCTGCGGCCGCCGGGCCCACCCCGCACCGGCACCGTTCCGTAGCTTTCAGCCCGCTCTCCTCCCCGCAGCTCCCGGCGGCTGGTGACCCTGGCGAGGGGCCTGGCCCCCGCCTTCCTGCGCTTCGCGGGCAAGAGGACGGACTTTCTGCAGTTCCACAACGTGAAGAACCCGGCCAAGAGCCGCGGCGGGCCCGGCCCCGATTACTACCTCAAGAACTACGAGGACGGTGAGCGGGGCCGCGGGCCGGGCGGGGGGCGGGCGCGGCTGCGGGGGCTGCGGGCACCGCACGGTCCCGTTCCGCTGTTCGGGCTCCGCGGCACCGGGCGCGCCGTGCGCCCCGCCGGGCAGCGCCGCACCGGGCGGGGGCTTCTCCTTCCCTTCCCTCCCCTTGCCGGTGCGTCCGGCGGAGAAACAAAAGGCCCGCGGAGGGAATCGTCCCCCGGTATTGCGGATCGCGCCCCGCTGCTTTTGCACCGCTTCTCCCTCGATCTTCCCGGACCCTCCGGTGCTCCCCGGGAGCTCTGCCTTTCCCTGAGGACCCCGGCGTCGTTTCTCCGTGCGGCTGCGGCCCCGGGGCTCTCCGCAGCCCGGCCCGGCTCGTTGCCCGTCGCTATCCGGGGAGCCGCTCTTTCTCCGCAGCGCCGTGCCACCGGGCCCTGCCCGAAGTGACGGCGGCACCGCCTCGTCCCGGCTCTGCCCCGCTCCCTTCCTCCCCGCTCTGTGCCCTCCTCCCAACGGTTCCGCAGCTGCACGAAAGGTTTTCACCTTTTGCGGCCCTTGATTCACACAAAGAAACCTCGCAGACCAGTCAGGGTCAACGCTCCTATTTTGAGAAGCAGAATATCATGTATGAGTGCAAGAATTTATTGATTTTTCTTTTTTCTTTTTTTTTCCTTAAAAAAACTTACTTTCTTACTTACGACTTAACAAAAATTAGCAGAAGATATTTCCATAAGTGATTTTCGAGGGCCAATTAATGCCAGACAGATCCCAGCGGGCAGGTCAGTGGAGCAGAGGAAGTTTTGCAGAAATCCAGTCGGCAGCTCAGCGCTGAATGGAAAAAGCAGACGTGTTTGCCAGTTTTCTGATGGCTTTCTGTTCCTCCAGTAGCGTTTGATCTCAGTGAGACCATTGTCCCCCAGCCCCACACGCAGGCAGGTGGGTGATGTGTGCACTCCGTCTTTGCTGAAGCAATCCCCATCCCATCACTTGGGTTTTTTTCCTTCTCATAACCGATCTCTGGTGAAGGGTTTGCTGTAAGCTCTGCCTACTGGGATGAATTTCACGCTGACCAAAACCTGCAGCCATCTCAAATAGAAAACTTAAGTGTAGCGCATAAAAGCGTGGACGAGATTCACACTAAACATTGGTAGGAATAAATTTCCCTGCTTCAGCCCAAAGGTCAATATTTCAACAGCCTGCAGGAGAGAACTTACACTTATTAAATGTCTTCACAGCAGCTTTCATGTTAGGGAAGGAAGGACTGAAAGCTTTTTTTTTTTTTTTTTTCCAGTTTTCCTCGTGGCAATAAAGTTGAAATGTAGCAGTCCTTCAAAATGAAGCTTCTCATAGAAGTTGTAACCACAGGTCTTAACTTTTCATCACTTAAATATGGAACAGAACCATTGCAAATGGGAGTGAGGGAGGGAGGGGACACATGTGGTGTGTATCAAGCATCAGTGTAAATCAGAAAGGTGTGGTAAAAAGGATTTCCTGCCTGGAAGCAAAGCTTTCTTATTTGTTCTTAAGATCTGTGTGCAAACTCCGAGGTTGGAGTTGCTGGTAGCTCCCATCTTTTCATGCTTTGCTCGGGGGATCCAGTTCTCCAAAATGAAATCCTGGTGCCACTGCAGCTCTCTGCCCCACTGCACTGGATCCGAGCAGCCATGTTCTCCTCTCAGAGAACTGCTCTGCTTTTTGCTCCCTCATCTACAGCCTATCTGGGACCCGCCTGCATTCATGTGAGGGACCTGTGGGCTGAGCAGACTGCATGGAAAAAGATGGCACCCAGTGCCTGAGCTTGGGGAAGGCAGCGAGTGTCCTCTTGTCCCCATTGCTCTACCCACAGTTCCTGGGCTGACTGGGGCTGCTTTCCATGTGTAATGCTCTTGTCTCCTCATCATTTATTTTCTGAAATTTCTTGTCTGATTTAGCTAAAAAAAAAAAAAAAAACAAACCACCAAACAAACAAACAAACAAACAAAAAACAGAAAATGATTAAAAGAGAAACCTGTGAATGTCTTAAGTCTGACCTTCATGTTTTTTGGTGATGTAACAAGTGACAGCTCCATTGTTTTCTGCTTTGAATGTTTGCCTCTGTGCACATCCCATGGCTGCTGGTAGACAGCACAGAGGTGTATCGGTTCAGTTCAGAGAGCTGGAGGGCTTTGTCATTTTTGGTGGCTGTTTGGCAGGAGTTCATCAGGTCTGCCCATACCAGGCTGAGGGACTTGTCTAAGCTCTTTCCTATGGGAAAGGGATTGGTTGAACTGCAGGGTGTTGAAGGCGGCACGTCTATATGTATCCTCTGACCTTTGCCATGCGCTGCAAGGCCATCTAAGTGATCTGTTATATTATTTGGCCGTGGCATTGCCTTGCCTGAGGTCTGTTCCCGCTAGAAAACCAGTTTGTCACACACCGAGCCCTGCGGTACCAGGAGGTGGGGCTGTAGGGGAGACTTTTTGACACTTGCTGATTGAGAAGTGTAATGCTTTTGACCTGGGAGACTTTAGCCTCCCTTAAATGGAGTTTCTGTGTCCGTGCACTGCTGGGCTGGTTTTCCCTCCCTATCTGTATTGCAAATTGTGCTCTGTTATCTGGGGCTGCTTCTCTCCAGCCACACGTCTGACCCCTGGGCAGGGACTTGATCTCATGCTCAGTCTGCAGCAGAGCAGCTTCTCCTTCTGCTGTGGGGTTGCCTACTGGATAATGCACTTGGCTGTCCTTCCAGCCACCTCACGTGTTGCCAAGGACCACTTGGCTCTGAGGAATGGGACAATAAGAAACACTGGTCACTAGGGAAACAACCTTGTGCAGCTCCTTTTTGGGGCAAGCACATGGGCTGTCCATTTGCCCTGGCAGTGGTTGCTGGGAGCATAAATACAAAACCTCTTCTGAAGCTGAGTTTGCTAAAACCTGATCTGTGCTGCCCTGGAGCCTGGTGTTGGGGTGTTGGTGGGGTTTGGAGGCTCTCAGCAAAGAGTGCTGCTGGTGCCACTCCACCGCAGCAGAGAGCAGTTTTGGACACCTCCAGGTGGCATGAACATTAGAGTTTCCCTCTATGCGTATGTGCTGTGAAGAGAAAACTCGAGGGAAAAAGAGAAGTTTATTGGAACTGGAGTTCTTGGAGATGTGTTGGCCCAAGTGCCTCGGTGGGTTCTCCATCCTTTTGTAGCTTGAAGTGTTTCTGTGGCTGATGGAGACCAAAGGGCATTTGCCACACGCAGACAACTGGCCCTGTGTGGGTCATGGAAGGGAGAGGTGAAAAGGAGCACATATAGGTGCTGTAGGTAAGGCATAAGAAAAGGTGCTGAGCCAAAGTGTGTGTGGATGATGCATTTCAAAAATGCTCTCTCAGTTGCTGCTAAGTTACTTTCTTCTAGTTTATTTCCTTTTTTGGAAGGATACTGGGCATCTGGAAAAATGGCCAGTTACCACAAAAACCTGGCAAAAAACATGTTTCTCATGCCTTCCATACTAAGTGGGAGACTTTTCCTTATAGTGTGAGCAAGTCCATGTTACGCTGTAATTCTGGCACTGGCTAATGGGCTTCTTGTGCATGCTTTCATCTCAGGATCCCTTCCTTCTGCCCATCAGATACCTGGCATTGGATCAGGACCCCAAGCCTTGTGCTCAGGGGAATGCCATACCCCCTGCCGAGCCTGTACTGTGCAGGCTGCCTCTAGGTGCTATGCTTTCACCTGGATATTAGAGCAGAGCGGTGAGGGCTCAGCATTGTAGAGGGATTGCCCTTCTGGCTCCACAGCTCAGCCACCAGCAGGTGTTTCCCAGTGAGATGGGTCATCCTCCTGTCCCTGTAAGAAGTCAATAGATAAGCTGCCTTTCTGTAAGGTAAGGAAGGCACTATCTATGAAGGAGATAATTCCAAAGTATGTTTATCTCCATTTTTGGTTTTAAATTTTGAACGGTTTTGCAAGAACTGTGTGTGCAAATTGCTTTATAAGTGCAGGAAGTGGCGCAATCAGACACCGAGCTCCTGATTATCCATTTCTGGTGTATGGGTGAGACAAAGGATTCCTGTGGTTATATGTTTGATTGCTTCTAATAAGTATCCTAAATGCTCTACAGAACCTTATGATTTTTTTTTTTTTTTGCAAGTTCAACACTTCTGTCTGTGAATTAGAAATGATTCATACAAAGTAACATGCTCAGGGGAAACACGTGTGGCTTCCTATGCAACTGGATTGTGAGCTGGCTGTTGCCAATCAGGGAAAATGTTTTGAATTTATTACGGATTTTTTTCATTGAATACTTTTAAGGAAGTGAAGAGTGAATCACTGTATTCATATCGGGAAAGAAGCCTGCTGAGGGCATTCTTATGCTACAAACACACCGTGCTATAGTGGGACCACATGGATCAGTGTAAAGAATACGTATGTGTGGAGTAAGGTGATGGAGGTGGTCAGGATCACAGCTTTCAGGCATAGATATCAGCGTGTTATTAATTCCTTGTTTTCATTACAGAAGAAATAGGCAGCATCCAGCGGCATTATTACATATAAAACAAACGAATACGATTTTTTTTATCTAGTGCAAAATGCTTTCTGGAACTCATTGCCAGGGAATTTTCCCATCTAAAGGAAAGGAATGAGACGAATCTGTCAGAGAATTTCCTATTGAAGACAGACACGACGAGGATGCGCACGAATGCGACAAAGCCGCCGCGCTCGGTGCTGCTTTCCAACTTCTTCCATTTCCCCTCGGTGCACCCGGGGATCCCGTGGGCTCCTCGTGCCGCGGGGGCCGCCCGAGCCGCAGCTCACCTGGCCGCCACACGGGTGTGCTCCCTCCATACCGCACGGCGGCTCCGGGCCCGGCTCCGCTCCGCCGCCGCGGGGACGCGGTGCCGCCGGGAGAGGAGCGGGCAGCGGGAGCCGGGGCTGCGGGAGCCGCGCTGCGGGATGCGGCCGGCCGTGCCCCGCCGAGCAGCGCGGGGCTGAGCTGGCCAAGGTACTGACCCGGCCCGGCCCGGCCCGGCCGCTGCCTCTCGAGGCACACGCAGCTCGTTGGTCTGCCGGCTTTGGAAACCATTTGGCGTCCTCTGGGGCTCCCACATCTGGAGTTCTTCTTTCTCACTTCTGGCAAGAGTCGCTTGGTTTCTTGTTTTGCTGGGTATTTTTTTTTCCCCCTTGATTTTATTTATAATTTTGTGTGTGTGTCTGCGTGTGTTGGTTTTTATGGCCGCTCTGCGTTTTGGAAAGCTGTGTCCCACTCTGGGACTGCCCTGCCCAGAGCCCCCCGGGGGATCCTTCTCCTCACACCCCCTGTGCCTTTCCCCTTTCTCTCACTTACTTTTAGATGTGATCACTGTGAGCTTCCTGCTGGCTCTTTTCCCTGGATTGCTCTTGCTGAGGTTTTCCCTGAGCTCCTACAGCAGCTGTGGCCTCTTCCTCGGTGCTGCTGGTTCGAAAGAGAGGTGTAGAATCATAGAATCACAGAATGGTTGGATTGGAAGTGACCTCAAATATTGTCCAGTTCCAACTGCCCTGCTGTGGGCAGGGGTGCCAACCACTACATCGGACACAAGATCGGGTTGCCCAGGTCCCCATCTAACCTGGCCTTGAACACCTCCTGGCATGGGGCACCCACAACCTCTCTGGACAGCCTGTGCCAGTGCCTCACCACCCTCTTTGTAAAAAAATTCCCTGACATCTATACTAGAGGTGCTTTCACCTCCTCACCTGTCTGGATAAACAGGCATCAGGTTCTTTGGGAATTCCATATCCAATGCATCTACCCATTGTTTAAGCTGGAGCTATAGTGGATGTGGGGTCCACCTCCAGTTTTAGGTCTTGGGCAAATCCCTTGGGTCTTTAGCTGTGAGGACCCTGCATGCTCACTTCTGTTTCCTGCTCACATGCAGTGGGAGCTTTTCTGGGCTGTCCATGAAACTGGCTGCCAGAAGAGCATTCTCACTTTCTGTGCCCTTCACATCTTCTCCATCACAACCATGTCCCTTCCTCAGCATGTGTTCACTGGGACCTGAAGTCGCCAAAAAGGGATGCAGGGTGCTAGATGTTGGGGTGCCATGTGACACCTGCTGCCACATCCTCTTGCACTCTCCAAGGTGCTTCCCTGGCCCCTGACTGCACGGAGAAGGATCCTGGTCCCAGGGTGATACAGAAAGTTTGTCCCACTGGAGAAGAGCCCATTCTGCCTTTTCACCAAAGCCATTAAAATTATTTTGAGGCCTTTGCAAACCTTACAGAAATGACTTGTCTTCCTCAACCCTCCCCATGGATTTCTCACCCTTTGGTTCCTTCATCATCCAGCAAACAAGCCAACTTGTTAGCCAGGCTCGTATGGACCCTAAAATCCATGGCAGCTCCAAAATCCTGCATCGCTTGGTATGAGGGACGAATTAGGCAGCAGCAGGCCTGGTGATGCTGAATGTCTGACCTGACCCACAGGACATGGCCTGAAGAAGTTCCCTGCCACCCAGACAGTGTGGCCAACAGCCTTCCACCCACCTTCAGAGGGGGTTCCCTGCCAGTCCAGGACATCACCTGGAGCCCAGGTTTGCAGAACCTGAGATCTGGCTCTGACATGAGCATGGCTATTGGAAAACACTTGGGCATGGTGGTGATGGGTTGATGGTTGGACTAGATGATCTTAGTGGTATTCCCAACCTTAATGATTCTCTTTTATGATTCTAACTTCACTGTTCCTTGGTGTGCATGACAGTAGTGGAGCTTGAGTGTGTTTGTGGAGCCAGGCATATCTCTCTTCTGACAATAAGCTCCTTCAGAAATAACTAGCTAGATGGGAATAAAACCAAGGAAAGGGCAACGTCATGATGCAAAGCCTGACCTTGTGCAATGTGGTGGAAGAACTCCAACTTCCATCATCCCTTATCGCTTCTGGCCGCCGAAGCTTTTGTAAGAATTCAGCACAACAGATGGTTCCTCTGGATCCAAGCACGTTACAGAGTTTATTCAGCTCAGAAAATGGCCTTGAAAGGACTGTTTTGCACTGCCCACCTCCTGTTTTGGGACTGTCCACTTCTTACTAGATCCTTGTCCCCCCACTGCTACCCAATCTTTTCATTTCCTCAGTGGGTGAGTTATTCGAGGAGAGGGAATATCATATATTCCACAATATGACTTACAAAATGCTCATGTGGAGAGAAAGCAATTGTTAAGTAAGCTTCCTGTCTTCTAAATTGGATGTCAGGTATTACAAGTTTAAAGAGATCTGCTTAGAGAGCAGTAAACCGTGCTGACCCAGCCCCAGCAGTGAGCATACACAGGGCAAGAGCAAGCCTTCTTCACTGTCTTTGACAAGCAATGGTAGACAGAAGCCAAGGGTCACTAGAATGGGATTTAGTCTTTTCTCATTATCTTGTGTCAAGTACACCAACAACAGGGTCATAACATAAATATTGGGATACTTTTGCACTTTCCTGACAGAGAGAGGTCATAATTTTAAGAGATTTCCATTGTGAGAAATCAGCATCCACCAGTGATGGATGGAAGGGGCGGTAGGTTGTGTGAGCCTATTCAAGGCAATGATTTGGGCTTTCAGTGGGAGAAAAGAAGACTTAAGCAGAGGAACTTCACTGGACAGGTAGATCCAAGGGGTTGCTTATGCTGAGTGATGGTTGTATGGCTGTCGTGTTGGCTGGTTCTATCCAAGCGTCTGGTGACAATGAAAGCTGAGGTTTGGCCATCTCCCTTTTTTCTTTCCCTTTTGCTATAGACATTGTTCGCAGTGACATTGCCCTGGATAAGCAGAAAGGCTGTAAGATCGCCCAGCATCCTGACATAATGTTGGAGCTACAGAGGGAAAAGGCAGCTCAGATGCACTTGGTTTTGTTAAAGGAGCAGTTTTCAAACACATACAGCAACCTCACACTAACAGGTAAGGCTGCAAGACCAGCTCTGGAGCCAGGAACTGTGGCTAGTTCTTGCTAACTCACAGCTTCCCCTCTATGTGAATCAGCATCTCTGGCCGCCTCTGCTTCCTGCCAAGGTTACTGGGTGCTGGGAGGGAACGGCTTTTGAGGAAATTGTGGTGGACTCACAGGGCCCCTGAAGTGGGCACTCCAGAATTGGTGCCACTGGACAGAATGTTTCCTGCAGTCTGATCTAAGCAGAATGCCACAGCATGTGAAGTGCTGTAGTGATCTCCCCGCTCACTGTTCACTTCGGTGGGGCTGCAGCAATTACTAAATTTGGAGTCCTTTAAGCTGCAGCTGATTTTTTTTTTTTTTTTTTTTTCAGAGCATGCACTTTGTGTGAACCCAGTAAATATTAAAGAGCAAATATAAAGGGATAATGGCCCAGACAGAGCTGAGAGGATACTCTTTTTCTGGCAACTGTTTGTATTATCCAGGGAACAGAATCTCAAAGGATGGAGGAGACTGCCACATTTTGGATACACATTTAATGGTGCTTGTAAAGGACTGATGTCTGCAGGCAGGGAGTGGGCAGGAGGACGGGATCCCAGCAGCCAGCAGTGTCCTCTCATAGCTGTCCTTATCGCTACAGCTGGACGAGCCACAGACGATGAGAAGGAGGAAGAGGCCAATAAATCAAGCGCGATCCCCTTCCCCTCTCACTGGGTCCCTTTCCTGCGGAAGGCAGGGAGGCATCCATCCCATCTTTATGGGAAGCAGGGCCCCATACTGGCCCCACAGCCAGGCTGGGAAAGGGGAACGGGTCCCACACAGCCCCCCACTGCTGCCACCCCAACCAACCCCAAACCATGACAGCAGGGAGCTCTGTCCCCTCTGGGGACATTGGCTTACGGCCCTCTTGGGGATCCTGCAGAGAAGGGATGGCCACAGTAGGTCTGTCTGCAGGCTCAGCCCATGGGCATCAGGGCCAGGAGTGTGGCTGAACCATACCATTCCTGAAAGCCCAGCATTTAAATGGGATCCTCAGAACCATTTCTCATTCCCTGTAACGTAATCCACTTGGCTGTTTATTCCCAGTACAACTGCTGGAATCAACATTGTCAGCTTCTCCCCTGACAACTTGCTTACTTTCCACTAAACAAACTTCCCTTGAGAAGAGAAGCTGCTCTCCCCTATCCTCCTTCCCTTGCTGCTTCAAAGCCCTCGAGCATTGCTTGCATTTTTTGCAGAACCCGCGGAGCAGAGGTGCTACCTGGTTATCAGCTCTGCTCTTACCCTTTCCAAGTGTGTTTACAGGAGGGTTCACAAGGGTTTAGCACCAACTCCCCAGGAAAGAGAGAGCAATTTCATTGTCATATTACCCAAGGAACTATTTTAATGTCCTTTAACTCCCTCTGAATGTGTGCAGAGCAACTTCATAATTGTTATGAAGTTTAATCTTTTATTTCATAGACATCGTCTGAGAACATGGGCTCTAGACAGCTAAGCATAATATTTAACTGGAACTCTACTAACTTGTGTAAATATTTCCCTTCCCCGTGATGGATCTGGTGTTTGGGGTGGGCAGAGGGTTGTACATCTGTTGCAGAAGGGCATTCCTTACCTTCCAGATTTGATCAGGCAGAGTTTGCATGAGGACTTCTTTTTGTTCTGCACGTTTCTGTGCGATGCTGGAGGGAGTCCCCAATGGAAGGGCTGAGCACACAGGGATGGAGTGCCCAGGGATCCCCAAAAACAAGGAGGGATGTGCCCAGGAGCCCCTTGGTCTCATGGAGCTCATGCTCTGCTCTGTGTGGCTCTGCAGACCTGCTGCAGTGTAAGCCCAGGATGCACTCAGCAGTTGCACGCAGTCCCCAGCGTGCTCCCAGCCACCCTGCAGGCTGTGTGCCTGCACCGGGAGTTCAGCTGCTCCCAGCAGCAGGTACCTCCCAGGTAAGAGTGTCTTAAAATGCAATGTGTTTTCTGCGCTAAGACACAACTGAGACTGAGTGAAAGCAGGCAAGATTTCTGGCTCTTGCTCCTCCAGGAACACATGTTGCTCTCTGGCTTAGGCCACTTCAATTCCTCTAGACAAGCACGAGCTCTGCTCCTGTCTGCAGTTTTCTCTTTGCATCTTGCATTTGTTTTCTGTATGTGATCTCCGCAGGCTTACTACACCTGCCTCCCTGAGATGAGTGATAGCCTTTGATCTGTGATAGTGCTCTTTAAATGCTATATAACATTTTGAGGCTTATTAATCTTTGCTGCTTCCCTGTGCTGCTGGGAGATAGGTATCTTGTTTCACATGTCAGCGTCTCCTGTGCTTGTGGGGCAGCTGTGATGAGCAGGAGGGCACACAGAGCTGCCTGCCCTATGGAAACCACTGGTGGGATGGGGGAGAATGCTGGATCCTGCCCTAGGACGGGGTGAGGCCACACAGATTGGTTTCAGCACTGTTATTAAGTAAATTCCATTAAGCCTAATGGAAGACGGAATTGCTCAGGAGGCCAACAGACATATGTGAGAAACTGCCCCCTCCCACATGTGCATGAAGTGTTAAGCATAACTGAGCTTCCCAAAGTACAAGGATGGACCATAAATAGTGCATTTGCCTTCAGGAGTTCCCATCCTGAGGAAACAAAACAGGACCTACTTCTGAACAGCAGAAAAGCATCTCCTCTTTCTGCTCTGCCTTCTGCTTGTGGCCACAAAGCAGATCGCTTACTGCACCAGCAGCGCTGTGATGACAGCCCTGCAGGCCATCCTGCCACAACACATCCACACCAGAAAGTCAGAGAACACCCACAGGGTGGGTGCTGGGAACCCCTCTCCATCAACCTGTGGGAAACAACCCCCAAAAGCAGGGATGGAGGAAAGGGCTCTTGTGTGTGGTGCTCCCAATCCTACTGAGAGGCACAGGGGACTCGGGCCAAGGTTGGCTGCTGGGAACAGAGGTGAATGCTACAAGAGATTGGCTTTCACCATCTGTTTCCAAGTTGCAATCAAGTGTTTCACACTGGCATCCAATTAGTCCTATTAAGGCCATTAGCTAACCCAAACTCTGCCATAAGAGAGGCTGTGAGCTGCGTGGAAGGTTTTTTCTTGGACAGAAGCAGTTTTGGAGATGTTAGCAGCCAAGTAGAAGTTCTCTTTGGGGTCAGTTGTAAGAGTACATAAGGTGATAGTGATGGAGTGGGGTGAGGATGTGTGCACCTGTTTTTCCTAATGAAGAAATACAGAACGTTTTGTGTGATGGCGTGGAGTAGGAGCAAGGGCAGCACATCTTCGTGAAGCTTACAAACAAGAAGCTGACTTTCAGAGGTATGGTTTTCTTCTCTTTTCAGTAATGTTGAGAATTTTCCTTGTTCTTTGGCAGGGAGTCTTGTGGCTCAGGGTGAGTACGTGGGATATGTGTGTTTCCCTGCAGACTTCCCCTGGTGGCCAGTAGTTGTATGCATCTTGCAGAATGCTGTTGTGCTGGGGGGCAGTGGTCCTGTAGAAGAATATGTCTGTAGGGCAGAGACCCTTGTGCTGGTGGGACGTGTTTTGGGGCTGTCTTTGCAGGGTGTGGGCTAGGTGTGTTTTTGTTGCCCATGCAGGATGCTCAGCTCATTTTGCTGAGCCCTAGGTGTATACTTCTACCCCTATTTATAGTTAGGCTTCACTGAGGACTTGCAGGGCTGGAGTGGAGGGGTGCATCTTGTGAGACAGGCTTAAGATAAAGCTGTGTGCCCTCCCCTCCATTGTAGACCATAATGTTATTCATGTTATCCATAGCACTGCAAAGAATGAATCTGAAAAGGACCTCAAGAGGGCATCTTCTAGCCTTCTCCATGGCAAGTCAGCTGTACCTGGGCCCTGTTTGGGGAGGGGTGGCTGGGAAGAGGCAGCACTGCTGATCTGACCAGCTGGTACAGTCAGAGCACACCTCTGGGGGCTCAGAGCCTTCATCAGAGCTTACACAGGAAAAGCAGCATTCAAAGCTAAATATGCATGGAAAACTATGTCTGGGTTCCTCTCACTGATTGACACAGCGCATTGAGGTACGGGTGGAGGAGTCGTGCCACTGCAAGGAGGATGGCAATGTTGTTAGCCCCTGTGGGGAAGAGAAGGAGTATATAAATGCTGTGAAACACTGTGGGATTTTCCTGAGGAAGGATCAGGAAAACTGCAATATGCCATAGGAGTGTTATCTGTACTGAGCCTGTAGATAATGACCAGCAGAACTGCAGAGTCCCTTTTTGAGATGGTTTGCAGGTGTCTTCTGAGATGTCAGCATCTGAACTGCAGGGATGGTGCTGGCAAACACACACTGTAAAAACATTCCCTTGTAACTAAGTGGTTCTGTGTCTTTATCAGCTGTTTATATGAGCTCATTCTGAAGCGAAGTGGATGTTTGTTTTTGCTACGCGGCTTTCTGAGGGCATTTGGCTGAAATACATTATGTCCCAGGGCATGTTTGTGTGAAGCCAGCAGGCTGCAGGAGCCCAGGGGCTGGGCACCAGCGTTGCACTGCTCTCTGGGGCATCATTGTTAACAGACCTACACAACGTGGCTTTATCTTTGTTCTCACACCTCCTGTGATGGGGAGTCCATCCCCTGCTCAGCAGCCAGCCTGAGGGTGCAGCTATCACGGTGAGGCTGGGTTTTCTACAATCTCTTGGCTTGGTTTAAGCTCATTACACCATGTCGTCTCCCTGAGGATGAGCAGAGCAGCTCACAGTGCTCCTTTTCTCCCCGCAGAAATCTTTTACATATTTGAGGCTTAATATTGTGTTTCCCCTAAGACTTTTGTGCTCAACACCAAACAACTGGCTTTCTTCTGTTCATGGCCATGCTATTTTCAAGTTGAATGACACATGCATGGTTGATTCTGCCTCTTGAGGTCCCTTTCAGCACTCTGCATTTTCTTTTGTGACTCTGTGTTTTGCTGGGTTCCCTTAGGCTCTCCCACTTGGTCTGGGCTTCTTTGAAGGGAGTTGCCTCAAAATGAGCCCAGTGTTGTAGCTGAAGAGCAGCAGGA